TATGATTCGAGAAGTATAATTCAGTAAGAAGGAGAAAAGTAGAGATTATGAGGAATGCAGAAGCTTAGAATTTCATAGAACACAAAGAGTGGATGCACAGGCGCCATTGCAAACGATTTTGAGCCATGTCGTTCAAGGTCTCTAACCATTGGTGACTTTCGTCTCACGGAACCCAACCAGGTAGTCTACATCTGCCAACTCGTCGAGGTAGTCAGTAGTTGGGCATTCGTAACACATGTCCCGACCATCTCTCAATTGATGAAGAATCAGTACCTCAGCAATTGATTTGTCATCCTTACCAAGTACTCGTTTCTTTACAACTGCATTGCTTACTCAATTGTCCAAGGATACACGTGAAATCCATTGAAGATGAGGACTATATCAAGCAAGACTTTCATTATATAAACAGGTATAGTCCTTATTATTATTATTTCATTTGTGCTTGAATCTTCCTATGGATGTTTAGGCAGGACAGTATGATTACAAGAAACAAGGTGGTGAATCAGGCACAGATTAGCAAAATAAAGAGCTGCATTTCTACAATACAAGAACATCTCCAAGTCAAAACAATGGTCTGTTAACCAACACAATTGTATTAGGGGAATCACGAAAGCCATCTGTTACGCCTGCACGTAAACACATCAACTTGATATACTTGAACTATTGCGAGAGCGAGGATCGAGGATCCGGCAACACGACATGCCTCCAAAATCCGATTATCCGGACCCCCATATTTAGTAAAAATAAGATGTGATATGATGCAGAACCTGTATTCTACAAGCATTCAGAAAGTACGAGATCCGAATCCAGAAGAGAGTCAGATTCCCGGATTAGGGGTCTGGGACCGAGCCCTGGTCCTGGTCGTGGTCATAAAACATTACAAATAATGCGTATTTATACATTTTGGTCGGATAGGAAACAGGATCGAAGTCTGTGACATTGACAGTTAAGACGACCAATACGAAACAACATTTGAAGTGACACTGATAGTCAGGACAACCAATAAGAAACAACATTGAAGCACGTGACACTGATATCTAGGACGACCATAAAATTGACCAGTAGGAATTGACCAATAATTCTCTTAGGATATTGGATGAATATCCTAATACCATCATCCACAAGATACTGAGTATCTGTTGACCACACACCATCAACAACAACCTCCTTCCTGTGAGAAATAACAAATCAACTTCTTTCAAGTATAACAACAATCGCTCCATATGAATAGGACATATATATATTGAAGAAATCAACCAACTGCATCACAACACAAGCCCTCAAAGCAAAATCCTCACAGATAAAGGAACAACAACACATGAACACTGAGAATACCAATCAGACATGAAAGCAATGAACTAACTGGTAAAGAAGGCAGCCGAGTCCAGTTGCGCGAATGTTAAATCCACAGTATTATTTTTTTAAATTATCAGTCAATGGCCTTGTGGTGTGCGCTACTTATAAGTAGTATATGACGCGCGACTGAAAACGTCATGTCTGGCAGCAGAAGATGGGGGGGGAAGATCAAGAAAGCAAGAAGAGTGGGGGGAACACAATGGAATTTGTGTATGAAATGCATGAATAGTGAGTGAAATGTCAGACAATGGATTGAAGATTTGCAAATTAACCGGTTACGATATAGTTTTGCCTATTTTACTGAGTAACTAACTCTGTAATTTGTGATAAATACAGTTCGGTTGCCTTCACCTCTGTTCTCATTCACTACAGCCTTATTATACACACATTTTTTTTACATGAAAAGGAATTTTTCTTTTTGCATTCTTATGATGATATCATCATGATAATCGAATATAGTTAGAGTTGTTTGTGACAGATTTTTTTATTTTTTAGAAAAAAAAGGCAATGCATATTATCATCACCGTCATCGTCATCATCATCATGATCATCGTTATACAAAATAAGATAAAAATGACATGGTTATCTCTATTAAAAAAATAGTTTTAATTGTAAAATGTGTAACTCTATAGGAATCTCAAGCAAATTTTTCAATGCAATCAACAATATTGTTTTGTAAGTTTAACAATTCTTGTACTTCTGTGTACATGTATGTACGTGTGTGAGTGTGTGTGTGCGTGCCTGTGTACACATGTTACATACATACATAGTTCAAGTTATGCATTCATGCTTAACATCAAATAATCTGTACAAGCGATTGAATGAATGAATGAATGCATGTTGTGTAGTTTGATAGAGGTCATTTTTTGATTGAGAAAAATAGAAGAAGGAGAAGTAGTAGTATGTAAATTACTAGATTAGTGTCAGCGTTAAAAATGGTATATTATTATTATTATTACTATTATTTTTAGTAAGAACAAAAGAATGAAGTAGGATAACATGAATTTACTTCTACTGCGTCAGGTTACAATATTCACATCGATCAATAAGTGGGACTTGAATAGTTATACACATTTAGAGACATGAATGGAATGGAATATTTTCAAGGTGACCAAAATATGAATCTGTTACTGGTATGAGGATGGATGTTATTTTCAGGTTGGCCACATTGTGGAAGGGTGTATCTTGATGTATCAGAAAAGTGAGGTGGATTAGTGTTGGTCTTAGAGACCTGGGAGCGTGATTGCAGATTATATATCTTGGCAGCAGCATCGACAACCAAGATGGATCCGATGCTGATGTGATGGCGCGGATCGGCAAAGCAAGGGCTGCATTTCTACAGTTGAAAAATATCTGGAACTACAAACAACTTTCAACCAAAACCAAAATCGGGATTTTCAATACAAATGTGAAGACAGTTCTACTGTATGGAGCGGAAACATGGAGAACTACGAAAGCCATCATCAAGAAGATACAAGTGTTTATGAACAGTTGTCTACGCAAAATACTTCGTATTCGTTGGCCAGACACCATCAGCAACAACGAACTGAGGGAGAGAACAAGTCAGATTCGAGTGGATGAGGAAATCAGGAAGAAGTGGTGGAAGTGGATAGGACATACACTACGAAAAGCACCAAACTTCGTCACAAGACAAGCCCTCACATGGAACCCTCAAGGCAAAAGGAAAAGAGGAAGGCCAAAGAATACATTACGCCGAGAAATTGAGAAAGATATGAGAGGAATGAACAAACATTGGACAGAACTGGAGAGGGAAGCCCAGGACAGAGTTGGTTGGAGAAAACTGGTGAGCGGCCTATGCTCCATTGGGGGTAGCAGGCGTAAGTAAGTGTTGGTTTTAGAGAACTGGCAGTGTGATTGCAGAGTCCAAGTAACAACTGCTTAAGGAGTGTTAAGCACACCCTTTTTATGAGAATTTTTTTTGAAGTGTTAGCTCGGCTCTTTAAGTAGCCTTACTGCCGGAGACGGATATCCGTGAGGTAAAGTGAGGTGTGACATTTATAGGGTCGACCTTTTCTAATGCACTCCATACTTGTGAGAAGGCAGCATCGCTGCAGATGCTGGTTGTCCGAGGGGATCATCTTACTGCTGTCACATCCCTATACAGTCGGCAGTACGACTTCGCCCTCAGAACTGGAGTAGCTTCTTATAGTCTCATCATTCTTGAATTGACCTGCCAGACATGGTAGGACCTACAAGGACATATGTTCCAGACAAAATAGTTCGGTTGGGGTCAGTTCGATAGGCAAGCCCGACCCACCGCGTCAAGGTAGTAGCAACGTTTGGGACCAAACTAAAGCAGGTGATCTTCTCAGGAGATAACTACATGAACATTTGACCTACAATTCTAATCCACAAGGCAGTAGAGCTAAATTAGGAGAAGCTCTGTCCTATAGTAATTGATGGTGCTGGTGCCCACCGTGGACTTGGGAATCGGAGGTTTTTCAACTCCGCTAGGTAGATCCTCCATACCCATCAACCAGGCTTAAACATTCAATCTAGATCATTTGAATTTCGTGAACAATATCCTTGCCACGAGAAGAGAGAGTGAGTAGGACTTTCCTGTAAACGTTTACATAACGTATGGTCGTGTAAGAGTATTTATAGGGCGAGAGTGTCAACCCACTTGTAGGAATCAAATCCAGAACCTTCGATTCTATGAGCGAAAACCTAACCTCCACAATACTGAACCGGCGTTTCATGGTGTTAGGTTCTATTCGTGACCAGTGCAACCTTATGCGATGCCTTCCGTAGTGACTGCCTACCACTCCGGACAGAGCTGAACGCTGATCAATTTATAATTTAAATGAAACTTAATCATCTCTGAAATTTTATCATGAAAAAAACAACTGACTGATTGTTGTCACGATTGCTCTCGTAACTGTTCTCGACGCCTTCTTCAACTTTATTTCCCCCAAAAGACGTAGAAGAAACTGCGTGATTCAGAATAGGAAGCAGACATGAAAAAACAAATAGGAACAAGAATTGGGTAGGTCGTCCTCCAAGGCAGAGTAGGTTGTTGAATGCTGATCAGTGGACCATGCTCCATTAGGAGTAATAGGCGTAAGTTTACGTTAGTAAGTCGGTATGTGATTACAATACAACTTTTTGAAACCATGAATCGATCAATGTTAGACCACCATTATAAACCTGGAGGCACTGGACGGCAGTTTCGTCCTGGTATGGGACTCTTCAGCAGTGCGCATCCACGACTCCTGCACCCGGCAGGATCCGAACCTAGGACTTTCGGTATTGTGCGCGAACGCCCTAACCGTTAGACCACTGAGCCGGTATCTAATGGTGTTAATGTCTAACTTGATCAAATTCACGGAGTTGCGCAACCTCATACACAGTCTTCGGTAGACATTGCCTACACCCGAACAGGTTGAACTTCACTGGTCACGTCTTCCCACTAGAACTGGGAGAAGCTAGTCAGTAGTAAGCACAGGTAATTTGCATTACGGGGTTGTGGAGATTGTTAGGTTACACATTTGAAATCATGAATGCGCACTGCCCTTGATGAGTCCCACACCAGGACGAAACGGCCGTCCAGTGTTTCCAGGTTTCTAATGGTGGCCTTACATTGATCGATTGATGGTGTCAAGAAATGTGTAACTTAACAATCCTCACAACCCCGTAATACAATACAACTGTCAAGAACAACTTTCTTTTAAAAAACATGGTCATTCTAAGAAGCATCAAAACTTACTGGCATCAATTTATGTTGTGATTCAATGTTTTCCGTATTATCATTATTATTAATATTATTATTATGATTATGATCAGTAGTATCATTTGCATTGTTTTGTATAGGTGGTGGCACATGAGAATTCAATGTCAAATTTGTATATTCACGTTTTAATATGGCTAGTTCACAACGTAATGCTATAGTGGCTTCAGCTTCTTGTGCTCGAATTAATTGACATTTGACTAAACGATCAGCCATTACTTCACTTTCCTGTTTAGATAAACAAAAAAACATGTTTACACATGTAAGCATAGAGAATAACAGTTTGAAAAGGAAACATATATATGCATTTTTATATAATTAAAATCAGGAATCGATCAATGATTGTTAGACCACCATTAGAAACGTGGAAGCACTGAAAGACAGCCATTTTGTCCGGGTGTAGGACTCATCAGTGGCAGTGCTCATTCACTACTCCTGCACCTCGCAGGATTCGAATCCGGGACCTTCGGTCCCATATCAGGAAGAAACACCAGTCTTTCGGTGCTTCCATGTTTCTAATGATGACCTAGCATTGATCGATTCATGATTTCAAATGTGTAACTTAACAATCTTCACAACCGCGTGATGAAATATATATGTTTATATATATATATATATATATATATATATATATATATATATATATATGAATTATAATATGATAACTTACTTACGCCTGTTACTCCTAATGGAGCATATATCGCCGACCAGTATGCTTCAACCTACTGCATATTGGTCTTCCCTTCTCAGTTCTATTCAATTTTTGTTCATTCTTCTCATGTCTGTCTTCATTTCTCAGCGTAATGAGTTCCTTGGGCTTCTTCTTTTGCTTTGACCTAGAGGATTCCAAATGAGGGTTTGTCTCGGGACGCAATGGAGTGCTTTCTTTGTGGTGTGTCTTATCCACCTTCAGCGTATTTTATGAAGATTATCTAAGCGTCTTTCGATTACAATTTGTTGATTGTTTAGGCGAGGTGGACAGGATACACATAGCGGAAATCACTCATTTGCATCACAAGATGAGCCATGACAGGGAATCCTCAAGATGAAACAACTGACTACGCCAAGACAGACAGAGAGATACAACGCAGAACTTCGTACATAAGTACATTAGTTCAGGTTGCCATACCACATCAGCACAGAGACGTAACTGTCTGTTCAAATCCAAGAGTGATAGCAATAATAGAAATATTAGCAGTAATGAAAAAGATTAGGGAGCGAAGATATGATACGAGGAGTATAATTCAGTGAGATAAATTTACAAGGAGAAAGATAGAGATTATGACGAATTCAGAACCTTAGAATTAGAGAGAGAATGAACTTGCGCCATTGCAAACGATTCTGAGCCATGTCGTTCAAATTCTCTCTAGAAGAGTTAGTCGTGCAGAAAAGAGAGGTATTAGGAGGTGTAGGAAGGATCTGATTTTGAACAATTTGGTTTCGTGTGCTGTTACGGGTATGAGGGCGGTTTTCACTTCCCGGCTGCCCACATCGTGGAAGGACTACGCCAAGAATTGAAAGCAAACATCAAGAAGAATGGAACACCAAAAATGGATAGAACTAGAAAAGAAGGCCCTAGGACAGATAGTAGGTCGGAGAACTTGTACCTTTTCTACTTATTAAAGTTGACGAACTTTCATTGTGGATGCGCACTACCCACTTATAAACAGTTCCAGATACTAGGATGAAACAGCCGTCTACTACTGAAATGCTTCCAGGTCTCTCTAATGGTGATGATCGAACAATGCTTGATTGATGATTCAGATAAGAATTTAATTGTAATTAATGACTCGGCAAAAAATTACCTTGATTTAGTTTAACAATTTTTGACATAAGAAACCTAAAGCATTGGAAGTCGGTGGTTTTGTCTTTGAGTATGCGACTACACATTGGGATAGCGCATTCATGACCTTTTGGCTCGCATGAGAACGCTATGACTAGTGAATTTCAACTCTGTCCAGTGTAGCCAGTAAGTACTGCAGAGAGCGAGTGACGATGCACAATATCAAGGATTGATCAAAGTTAACCATTAACACTGTTGGAAGCCAGTTCAATGATTTTTATAAATTGAGCGTTCACGCGTGCAACCAAAAAAGGTCCTGAATTCGACTCCCACAAGCGTGGGTCATGAGCGCGCATTGCTGATGAGTAGTAAGTAGTCTCATACCACAACGAAACAGCTGTCTTTCAATGCTTCAAGCTTTCATTACTGGTGGTGATCTAACAATGACCGATTCATAATTTCAACCAATATCTGCATTGTTCTAATATTCACAATGCGAATATCTTTCAATCGATGATTTTTAGTAAAACCCAATCATTAAATTGTCAATAACCATAATCATAATCAATAAAAAAACATGAAAAGTAAGATAGAAAGTAAACAAGTTAGAACACCGTCGTCTACTACTAACTAGTATTGATCGATAATTGAACGAAAGAAAAACAAACTTGCAAATCAGTAGTATCATCAATAATGTGAATTATAATATTAACAAGTGTATTCAAATAGAATAACTAATAGAATTCATTCAAATTCATTTTTTTTGGTCTACTACCAAACGTGTCTATTGTATTCAATGAACCAATAGGAATTGACCAATAATTCTCTTAGGATATTGGATGAATATCCTAACAGCCTGAGGAGTTGGAAGGTCTGAATTTAGAAAAGTTTTGTCAACTCATGATGAAAGCCGAGTTTCTTCAGCAGTCACAACCAGAGTAATTAGTAATATAGGTCAGGTATATGGACTATTCACACAATATAGAGACCGGCAGAACCATACAAACTTCTGCGGCGGACATCAAAAGAATGGACAGCAATTAAGTAGAAATGGAAAGGTAGGCTGCTGAGGACAGAGTAGAATGGAGAATGCTAGTCGGTGGGCTATGCTCCATTGTGGGGCGTAACAGGCGTAAATATGTAAGTAAGTAAGTAAGAAAAGAGAATAGACCACCTTCCATCTGAGGAAGAAATTCAGAAAAATAACGCTGAAAGCGGATAGGAGATACATAGCATAAATGATTAACCAACATTGCAAGGCAAACCGTAATTTAGAATCCTTAAGCCAAAGGATAACAGGTAGATCATATAACCTATGGCGTCAGGAATTGATGACAGATACCCAAAGAATGAAAAAGCACTTTGGAGCAATTGGAAAGGAAAGAGAAGGAGTTATTCGTCACGAGGGATAATTAAAGTAAGATACACATACTTATTAATAACTTGATTACACAATACAATAAAACTAATCTCACCTCTTCTAAACGAGTTAAACGTTGTAACAATAATCCGTTTTCAGTACGAAGACGCTGAAAATAAGTAAAGACATATATACATATATATATATATATATATATATATATATATATATATATATATATATATAACAGTTTTAACTAAAGCAGACAATTACCACGACATAGAGAAACTTTTATCTAAAGCGATGCAATACACACTGTAATTAGTGATGAACAAAATCTATAAATGGTTAAACATTTTCTGATCGCTTAAATTGGACAATGAATATTTGAAATAGATAAATATATGTACATATATGTACTGAGATGTTTTATCAAATTCTTCAAGGTTAACATCATCAGTAGACTATAATCTAAGATACTTATGCACCAGCTTACGCTGATCAGTCAGTAAGTTGCAACGTAGAACTTCGTACGTATGTACATAAGTTCATGTTGCCATACCACATTATTAGCACAGAGACGCAAATGTCAAATCAAATCTCATAGTGATAAAGATGGTAGAGGTATTAATGTTATAATAAAGAAGACTAGGGTTTAAGATATTATTCAAAAAATATAATTCAGTGAGATAAGGTTTGAAAGACAAAGGTAGAGATGCTGCAGAATCCAGAAGATTAGGATTTGAGAGAGCTCAAAGAGTGGATGCACCTGCGCCATTGCAAACGATTTTGAGCCATGTCGTTCAAGGTCTCTAACCATTGATGACTTTCGTCTCGCGGACCCCAACCAGGTAGTCTACATCTACCAACATGACTCAGTCCACTTGTCAGTGACTTCATGCATTTCTGCCTTGTTCTGGTCTGGCCGCCCCTAGCTTTCTTCCAACCTACTCCTACACCACAAAACATAGCTCGTCGAGGCAGTCGGTGGTTAGGCATACGTAACACATGTCCCAACCACCTCAACTGATGAAGTTTCACCACTTCATCGATTGATCTGCCATCCTTACCTAGTACTCGTTTCCTAACAACAGCATTGCTTACTCGGCTGTCCCACGATACACGAACAATGCTTCTTAAACATCTATGATCGAATACTAGTAACCTACGAACATCTTCTACTCGTAACGGCCATGTTTCACAGCCATATAAGAGAACGGAACGAACTGCTGCGCAGTACACCCGCCCTTTGGTTAGCGAACGGATATCACGCCTACGCCATAAGTGACGCAGGTTGGCAAAAGCCCATCGAGCTTTCTGTATCCGAGCTGAGATTTCGTCAGTCACCAGACCGTCAGCACTGATGAGACTCCCCAGATAAGTGAAGTGATCAACACGCTCGACTACTTCACTCCCTATCACTAGTTCAGGTGCCGAAGCAACCCAGTCTTGAAGCAACATTTTGCATTTCGAGGGGGAAAACCGCATCCCGAACATGCTCGCATTGTTGCTTATGGTAGTCAGAAGACTCTGCATTTTGTCAGCGTCTTCACCGAATAGAACTATGTCATCGGCATATTCTAGATCACTAAGCGACTTTCCTGGTAGAAGGTCAACCCCTGAAAAATCTGACGAGCTTAATGTTAACTCTAAGAGGATGTCTACGACAAAGTTAAACAAGAATGGAGAGAGTGAACAGCCCTGACGGACACCACTTGATGTAGAGAATTCAGATGACAGTTCGCCATATGCTCTCACCCGACTAGTGGTGTTCGAGTAGAGTGCTTGTTTAAGGTTAATGTACTTCTTTGGTACACCTTTCAATGACAGACACTGCCACAGAACCTCACGATCCACTGAGTCGAATGCCGCCTTAAGGTCCAGGAACACGACTATTGTCGGACGTCTAAATGTGTGTCTGTGTTCCAGGACCTGTCGTAGTGTGAAGATGTGGTCTATACAACCACGTCCAGGTCGAAAACCAGCCTGGTTTTCTCGAGTCTGCTCTTCGCGAGCTCTAGTTAGACGTCTAAGTATAATCGAGGCTAACAATTTAGAAACTATATTAGTTAAACTTATTCCCCTGTGATTGTCACAAGAGGACTTCTGTCCTTTCTTGTAGATTGGGACAATTAGCGACTGAGACCAGTCAGATGGGATTACGTCCATTTCCCAGATTCTACCTAGGATCTCGGTCAGTTTAACCGTTAAAACTGGACAACCATCCTTAAACATCTCAGGGGTAAGCCTATCGGGACCTGCCGCTCTACCTCTCCTTAGATTTCCTATAGCTTTCTCAACTTCATGTAAACTGGGAGGACTTAAATCGATTTGCCATTCAGGATGACTGGAGATCGTGGGCAACCGAAGAGTGGCTGAAGGCCAGTTGAACTGATCCCTAAAGTGTTCTGCCCATCTGTCCAGCCTCCTAGATTGAGAATGGATAATAAGACCATCCTTTTCCGAGATAGTCTCACTCACATTCAGGTTCCTAATACCGGTTTCTTTGATAAGGCGGAAAAGTTGTCTAGTGTTGCCTATCGCCACTGCCTTTTCCATCGCTTTTGCTTTCGCCACCCA